CCGCTCGGCCGCGCTCGGCTCCGCGGGGACGCGGCAGCCCGGAGCGGGCGCCAGGCAAAAGGCGGAGCGTGGAGTCCGGAGCGGAGGGCGGCGGCGGAGGGGAAAACGCGGGGCCGGAGCGCCGGAACGGTTCCGGACTACGAGGGGGGAACGGAATCGGGCAGAAGTTCGTCGCGCTGAGCGCGGCGGGCAGCCGGCCAGGGAGCCGCGCAGGGCCCGCGCACGGCCGCGGGGAGCGGCTGGGGGCAAAGACGGGGAGATCCATCTTCTCCACAGGCAAACAGGGCGCGTGACCGCGGCCCGCTCTTTGGCCACACGCAGCAGAGATGCAGGCTGGGAACAGCGCTCCTTTTAATGCCGCCCGAGGACAGACGCAGCACCGCGCGCCGAGGCCGTGTCCGTGCCGCACCGCCTGCTGCCCGCCTCGCGCCCGCCGCTGCCCGCTCGCTCCGCCGGGCCCGCTCACGCCGCCGCTTTCTGCTTCATTAACCCCTTCTTCGCTCCCTGATGGATCTTCGAATCCAGCTTCCCTGTAAAGAGAGGGAAAAAAAAAACAAAAACAAGCAATCCTCATCACTCTTATTTTTAAATGCTATTTGCAATGCAAATCAGCTGGAGGCAGCGAGGTCTCCTCGTTAGTGTGTTGCTGTCACATTCAATTATCGTGCTCGAGGAGCCAGGCGTTCCCAGCCGCTGTGGCTTCCCTGTGCGGGCACCACACCGAGCCGGGGGCTGCGGGGGGGGCTCCAGTACGGAGGAGAGCAAATTGTCATCCAGCACCGCTGCTGGGGAGCGATTGTAGCACGGAACTCAAGACATTGGACTTGGGGGGCAATTCCTGCAGGAAAGCCAAGAGGCAGGTGTCATGCTGCCTCACCCTAACCCTGCCTCCCTGCCCATACCCAAGCCCAGCTGCAGTGTGGTCGGGGGCATTCCTGGGGATGCGATGCACCGGGCTCTGAGCTGCTCCCACCGTCAACTTGCACCAAACTGAGCAAATTTCTCATTTCAGCTCAAAGATTACTCCAACAGTGCTGTTTCCAAAAGCAGCAGACTACAAAACCGCTTGTTCCACCACAACGACTTCCCTGAAACTGTCCCCCTCCATCTTTTGGGTCAGCCTTACTCTCAGCTGGGTACAGAAACCAAAAAACGTGCAAAAAAAAAAGCACACGAGCAAGGGTTCATGCATGGGGTTGAAACGGGGAGCAGGGACAAGACTCCAGTGGTGTCTCAGGGCAACTCCCAGGACATGGGCCATCGGCACAGCTCCTCTGTGCTGCCGCCACAAACGTACAGCAGCAGACTGGGCACCTATGGGCCAAGCCAGACCGGCCGGAAGCGATGTGCCAGCCCTCCGAGTCACCAAACCGGGGGGATTTGGCAGGAGAAAAGCGTTGATTTCACACTCGCTCCGTGCTCTGGTCTCCCACTGCCGAGGCTCAGTCACATCCTGGGCTGTTAGCTTTACCCTTAGCATGACTGCCTGCTCCTCCCAGGCCCCAGAAGTGATCAGCGGGCTCCTCTGCTCTATCAGCTGGCAAAGATAAAACGTCACATGGGTAACCTTTAAGAAAAGGCTAAAAATAAGGCAACGGCCCCAGGGTCTCCTTCTCTTTACGCTCAATGATTTAAGGACTCTCATCTCACTGGCAGCACCGCGATGCGTCCCCTCTCCCCCCTCCTCACCTCCCCACACCTCCGTGCTGCTCAATGGCGGCTTTGGGAAGCTGTGCCCAGATGCACGGAGATCTCCCACAAGAGCCACAGCTGAGCTTTGTCCTCACACACTGACACTAAGCAGGGACATGTCTGGGGAAAGCCGTGGTCACAAATGTGACACAAACACTATGCCCATCCTTTCCATGCAAACAATAACCCTGGCAGCAAATTGAGCTCTGTTTCTTTTTTTCCTTCCCCAGGCTGCTAGAAACGACTCATTTCCAATGGAGAATCATTCAGATGTCATTGCGGTGAGGTCCATGCTGTTATCTGGCAAGAAAAGCTGCACTGGCTCGGCTTCCCAACAAGACAAACTGGCATTTTGTCACGGCCGATCCAGGCTTCAAGATGAGCTCAGGTGGGGATGTGAGCCACACTTCAGACTGCATCAGATGCAGAGCCAGCTCCTCCTAAAATAGCGTGCCACCACGACAAGTGGGTGATGGCTTCCCTGCTCCTTCCCCATCCATCACAAGCCTCCTATGAGCGACTCAGCATGCTGGCACACACCCTGGAGGGGACACACAGCTCCACGATCCCTGCCACTGCAGCTCCTGCGCTCTCATGGCAGAGCTGGTGGGGAGGAGGGCAGGGAAGGCAAGGCCAGCAGCGGGAGTGAGCAGCCGCCAGCGCAGCCAGCTTCCTTCCAGGCTGTTAGACTGATCCTGCTCCAAGCAGGAAACTGTCACAACACAAAGGAGACTATGTGACAGAGGGGGGGGGGGCAGGCGGTGCCCCAGCCGAGGCTCAGTGGAGGCAGATGTGACAGGGACAGGACACGGTGGCACCAGGGAGACTGAACAAGAGCAGAAAGAGGCTAAAAAAAAAAAACGTACAAAAAGGAGGACATGGCCCTGAGTGCTCAGCAGCACGCTGGAAAAGACCTGTCCCTGGTGGAAGGACAGTGCCACCAGCAAGATCCAAGACCTCGCACAAGCTCTGCAGATCAGCAAGCACTGTTTGCTGCCACTGGCTGAACACTCCTCCAGGATGCCACTATAAAAGCTGGATGACAAACCACATCACTTTACCCCTCGACCTGCTCAGCACACTACGAGTATTTGCCAAATGCCCAGGGAGTGAGCACAGCCATGGGAGAACTTGAGCAGAGAAGGGGGGAGAAAACCCTCAAAAACAACACAAAAACCCACACTGGGCTTCAAAAGGCCTTATAAAGCGGTCCTGAGAAACCCTGCCGCTCCTGCGCCGCTAGATAACTACTCCCAGAGAAGCACGCTGCAAATGAGAAAGGAAAGCCAGCCATGAGCTCTGCTAAACAAACAGCCAAGACTATTTCTGCTTATGCTGCTTTTAGCCTGTCAAATTAATTTTTCACATCCCCTGAAAGCATGTTCAGTGCCTTCCCCAGGCTGTGTGGTGAGGAGGTTGCTAATAAGGACAGAGCTGACTGCAGACTCCCCAGCTGCTGCATCCATCCTCCATTCTTTTTACAGCAGTGGGCAGGAATAACTGGCAGCCTGTGGAGGGCTGGTGGCTCATAAAAGGGACGAACAACGCTGGCAAGCGGAGTGCAGACAGATGCTGCAGCGCTTCACCGCCAGCTCTGCCAGGACATCCCATCCCCACTGGCCCGCAGTCACACGTCCATCTGGACCTACGGCCCTGGCTGCTTCAGGCCACTCCTGCCAAAAGGAAAGCAAGCACTCAGCATGGGCCATCCTGAGCGCCATCGCAACCTGCTCATCTTGTGAGGACAAACTTTGACAGTGGCACCAAGTGCACCCTCATCAGTTTGCTGATGGCACTGAGCCGAGCGCTGCGCTGGATACGACAGGAGGAAGGGATGCCATCCAGAGGGAGCTGGGCGGGCTCACAGAGCGGGACCACGTGAACCCAGGGAGGTTCAGCAAGGCCAAGCCGGGGTGCCGCACTTGGGTCGGGGCAATCCCAGCTGTGAGCACAGATGGGAGAAGGCCTCATGAGAGCAGCGCTGCGGAGGACTCGGTGGCTCTGGTGGATGAAAGCCACAGACGAGGCAGCAGCGTCCATTGGGGGCCGGAAAGCCACCGGCATCCTGGGCCGCACCAACAGAGGGGTGGCAGCGGCAGGGAGGGGACCGTCCCCTCTGCTCTGCCCTCGTGAGGCCCCAGCTGCGGTGCGGAGCTGCTGGAGCGGGGCAGAGGAGGCACGGAGATGCTGCCAGGGCTGCAGCACCTCTGCTATGGAGACGGCTGAGGAGCTGGGGGTGTTCAGCCTGGGCAAGAGAAGGCTGCGGGGAGACCTCAGTGCGGCCTTCCAGGACTTGAGGGGAGCTCAAAACAGGAGGGAGAGCGACATTTACATAAGCAGAGAGCGACAGAAAAGGAGAATGGCTTTAAACAAAAAGAGGGGAGATTTAGGAGGAAATTTTTTACTCAGAGGGCAGTGAAGCACCAGCACTGCTGCCAAGAGACCCCATCCCTGGAGGTGCTCAAGACCAGGCTGGCTTGGGCCCTGGGCAGCCAGCTCACAGCAGAGGGTTATCACTGGGTGGGCTTTATGGTCCCTTCCAAGCCGGGCCATTCTGTAATTCTACGATTCCTGCCTCACATCCCAAATCAGCCTGCAAGCACTCGTGCCAGAAGCAGATCAGCTGCAGGCATGTGTTTCCTCAGAGCACATGAGCACCATGATTCCCAAGTGTTTGCAGAGGCAGGAAGAGGCATGTATTTAGAAGGAAGCAACATCTGGGGAAAGGGGAACCAAAGACAAAAATATTACAGATGTATTTGAATCATTAAACAAACACCTACAGATCAAAGAGTGCAGGGCAAAGGTTGTGAACTCATATGGCAAAGGCAAGCAGAGGTGGTGAGGAGAGCAGGCAAGAAAGGCCAAGGAGGGCATCTGTGGAAACTTTACTACTTACAGATTTTGGGCTTTCCTTTGATGGGAAACTTCACAACCATCTCCTGGGGATTAGTGCAGATAAAGACAAATGGAGACCCAGATTCCTGGCTCAAATCCGGATACTGTGAAACACAGACACATGCACAAAACAGTCAGACAAACTGCAGTGGGTGTGAAAAGATCTCTACAGTGAGGAGCAGCACTAAAGGAAACGCTTCCAGGCAAACCATTACTGAAAAGGTGTAGAACAGGGTTTTACAGAAACAGCTCTGCCTCAGTAAAGTGCCCTTACACAGCTTGCATCAAGTGAGGTTGATGGCTTGAAGTAGTTGGCTGCTCCTCTGGGCCAGGCACCCTGGGACAGGAACTCAAAGTCTACTGAGAGATTTCACTGTGGTGAAAGCACCAGGGAATTTTACAGGTAGAGTGTAAACAGAGTGCTTCTCTCATTAACCACAGTGAAAAGGAAAGAAATAATGCCCAGGGTGGGAAGCACATGGAAACGCTGCCTGGATGCAGCTCACCCTCACTGCTGTGCAAAAGTGAAATGCAGAACTATAATAAAAAAAAGCGTAGATAGCAACTGTCCCTTCAGATCCTTCGCTGCAGGCCTAGTGCCGGCAGGTATGTGCAGAGTGGAGGAACAGGGCAGCACAGGAGCTCGAGCCCAGGAAAGCCTGTTCAAGCTCACAGCGGAAGCGGTTTCTCTTCTGCGGGAAAAATGCCTTTTTTTTTCCCCCTTGCTTTCCTCAAGCAGATCCAGAGAGGCTGCTGTATGCATGGGACAGGATGCCAGACCAGATGGAGCAATGTGTCCTGGCAAATCCCCCATTTGTTCCTAACAAATGACTTCTAGGCGGAATGTTTGAAAAGCTCTCCCTCTCTTGCTGGTCTGCCAAGATGGGTTTGGATGTGTCCTGAACAGCTGGGCACGGAGAGCAGAGCAGGGAGCAACCCACTTCTCCTGCATCACAGCGGGGTTTGGCAGCGCTGCCGGCAGTTAGGGGAGATTTACAGAAGCCTGACACCAGGAGTGGATCAACTGGAAAGCGTTTCCAGCCCCCTCATTTTACAACAGCACGGGCCACGTTTTCCGTGCGAGAGATGTACGTGCGCTGATCTGCACTGTGCAACACCTGTGCTGGGAGAGGAAGAGCCACGCTCATCTGCAAGGCCCACAGATGCCCTGCTGCACTGATCTGGTGCTGGACAAGTTTCTTCCTTTTATTTTTTTTTCTCCTAAGCCATGTTACTGGACTTGCTTCTACCGCTTTGTACTGATGCCAAGGATTTTCATTTCCCATCTGCAGGGAGGGAGGATCTTGGAAGGTTACAAAGCCCCAGTACGAATATCCCAAGCCAACGCCTGGTGAGTGCGAAGTGCTGGCCCGGCTTTATTGCTCTCGCTATCACACGGGTGACTGCTTGGCTTTCCACAGCCAGGCACTGGACTTCCCCAGCAGCTCTCGCACTAGCGGGGCCTCTGAAGACCACAGCATAGAGCTGCGGGGCCGAAGCCACCATCCTAACCGCCTGGAGACAGAAGCGATGTGTCCCTGTTTATGACACGTGGTTTGGCCTCCGCTCATTCAGGTTGTGTGTCCAAGACCACAGAGGTCCTCACAAACCTCTCCTAGGTGGATCTGAACACCACAGTGCTCCTCTCACACATCTCACAGGCCCCCACAACGGGAAATATCCCCTAACAGGCATCCAGGCATTAAGAGCAGCCAAGCTTGTTTCTCCACTGACAGATCTCACCCAAAGCCAGGATCAAATCTTCAGCTCGAAAAGCTTAACCCAATCCCAAGGCTGAGATGGAGGCCACAGCTGTGGCTTTGGCTTACGTTTCCACACCACAGCCTTTCATCTCCTCTCCCAGGGTACATTTCTGTACACTTGCCAAATCTGTGCAGTGTCTGCGCCCTGTATTTTAAAAGCTTCAGTCCCTCCTCTGGCATCTCAGCCCAGAATGCCAGGCAGGAGCCCCCCACCAAGACACTGTTTTGGGTTTTCTATTGTACCCACCCCCAAATTCTCCCACACCATCCTGGTGAGCGACAAGGCAGAATATTCCTGGCTGCTACAGTCAAATAATCTTATGCCAGAAGACACATCACCAGGACCAAGCGCACAGCCTCTCCCTGGTGCACTTGTAGGCAGTGGATATGAACTACCTCAGCAGACTTCACTCCCAGAGATCACCAGAGGAGTTAGCATTTCCCAGCTGCTGTTGCTACTTAGCTCCCTTACCAGCACCCTGTCGTAACATCGCGTGCCATCACCACGCTGGGGCTGAGCAACGTAACAGAGCTGCAGATCCCCACCTACATATCAGCACACAACAACACGCTGCCACTGCTGTCCAGACATCAACAGGATTGAGGAAAAGCACTGAGGGAGAACAGCACAGCTATTCCTGCAGCTTAGCTCAGCACTAGGAGCCCAGTTCCTACCTGCCACACTCCAAAGACACCTCTCCTATCAGCAGCGACCTGCTTGACTTATGTTCTGATCACAGACACAGGCATCAAGACGTGAAGCACATTTGTCTCTGTTCAATTTTCCACAGTTGCCCAAGTGCTTAATGAGTAAAAAACCCGTTTCTCAAAGTGCCATTGGCACTTTGGAAGGCTTTTAATGACATTTACGATCCTTGGCCGCTCTGAGAAAGTTCTCCTTCTGTTCAGCTGTATGCAATTCTTCCCACCCAATTTCCTCCTCAAACAATAACCTCTCCCTAAAACGCTTCCCTAAGGCAATGGCATTTCCATCCCACTGTTTTTATCGACTGTCTGCAGCTTTTCTAGACCAGCAACAGAAGGGTCAGTGCTTCTGCTCTGGATTGCAAGAGGTCAGCCGAGTCGCTCTACAATCAATAAGTTGATGATGCTGAGAAAAAATTTGCTCCCAACTACTATACCCCACAGACTGCAACCACTGCCCTTCAGCACTTCAGCAAATGCAAGAGTGTAGGAAAAGGCCAAAGACCAGGTCTAGTGTGCCAGAGAGCAGAGAGACCGGTAAAAAGGGCCTGCAACAGCTTTTTTTTTTTTTTTTTTTTTTTTTTTGTTTCATTCTTTAAATAAATCTCCACAGTGAAGAGAGGGCAAAGCACACTTCTTCAATGCCAGAGACCAAAAATCCAACCCAACTGGGAGCCTGATGGGGGAATGTTCCCTCCCAGTTCCAACTGCACTCGTTCTAATCTTGGGGGTATAAATAAGATGGGACTTACTACTCTGGGGCTTTAGCGCTGCCTCTGTTAGGAATCGATTCAGCATTTAAGAGAAGGTGGCTGGAATGAGCTCTAAGTAAGTCTGGAAGCCAGGCTGTCCCTCGAGAAGGGAAAAACCCACTCCCATGACCACAGATGAGCCAGAAAGCTCTGAAGAAAGGGGTTGCACAATATAACTGCAGTGAAAAAAAAACAATTTGGTCTCCTTCCAGCCCTTCTGCCACCTCATACCAAGCTTGCAAGATGGCTGTTCAGAAGGCAGTGGGCACCGTGGGCTGCAAGCAGTTTGCCAACTGCTGCTTCAAAACCCCATGTATGCTCTGCGCATGGCTGCGTCAGCGCAACCACCGCCCTCCCCTCCTCGCTCAGCCCAGCCACAAGCAGATGTAAGCTCCCATCGTCCCTGCAAGCACGCTGGCCAGGCTTCAATTTGCTGCTAACAGGTTTGTAAGAGCCTAGCTGTGAAGAGATTAGCAGGGAGAAGGGAAGGAGAAAAAAAAAAAAAAAAAAAAAAAAAAGCAGGTCTCCAGGCAGCTTAACGCAGAGAGCTGGAGGTTAAATGGAGCATCTGAGCACAAGCTGGAAGAGGGAGCCGCGCTGGGCTCCTGCAAAGGCCAGCCACCAATTCACCAGCACCCGCCCTCTCTCTGGAGCTGGTGCTTTGAACACACATTAAGTGGCTATCAGATGTCCCCAGCAGTTACCCCAATCAGGCTGCAGGCAGGGATAATTGCTAATGAATGTTCCCTACACTTTGCTTTCACCGTCCCTCATCTCCCATCACCAGCTTGTCATGGCCAAAAATAGCAGCAGGCCTGCCGAGCCTCTCTGCTCCACAGCCAAGAGCGAAGCAGGAGCTCGGAGTCAGCACGGAAACAATCCCATCCTCTCCGACATTAAGAAAACCCTCTGCAGTGTTTTTCCCCCACCAATCTGCCAAGGGAACTATTTTTTCCTTAATTGAGGTAAAGCCTGGGGCTGGATGCGGGGGCCACGCAGGCTTGCTCAGGCACTGCTGGCTGGTTTTCCTTGCAGGTGATATCCCTGCTTTCTCCTCATTCCTGTCCCTCCCGGGGCTCCCACGGCAAACAATGAGCGAAGCGGGACGGGCACTGTTTCCTTGGGAACCACCAGCGCTGCCCTTGGGCCAGCCCTTCACCCCTCAGCAACGAGATGCACCTGCTTGAACCAAAGGGTACAGAAACAACCAAAGGAAAACGTGCAAAACCGCCGCTAAGTAGATGAGCTGTGCTCTGGAGGACCCAGTGGAGGAACAAAGGCCGTGTGCCATGGAGCACAGGTTCTGTGCGGCACAAAGCACAGAGCAAAATCATTCCCCAGCAGCTTTGCTGGTGACCTTTCAAGCTCCTCTTGCAGTCTTATTAAGGCCTCCAGACACACAAGCTGGAGGAAATAAACAAGAGATCGAAGGCTAAAAATACCGAGTGGAAATTGCCCCGGCGTTTGTTTTCCCTTTTTCCCCTGCCTGCCTGAAACCCAGAGCCCTGCAATGCAGCCCGCTCTCCTCCACTCGTCCCCGCAGGCAGCCCAGCTTCAGCAGAGAATTGCACGCTGGAACCTGTAGTCCCGCCGGGGCGGCCGCCGTCCGCTCCATCTTAGGGCTGCCGGGGGCCTCGGGGCGGGGAATCCGGCCAGAGCTCTGCGCGGAGGTCGTGCTGGGGGGGGGAGGCGTTGTGTGGGGTCAGCGATGGAAAGGGTCGGATCATTTTCCTAGTGTGCCTCCTCGGAGCCCAGCGCCGGACCAGGACACCGGCTCGCAGCTCAGCCTTCACCTCCCTGCTGCTCTCGAAGAGCTTCAAAATAAAAGAGGCAGCTCTGGAAAGCAAAGCTGTCTGGAAAGAATAAAAGCAAGCAGAGCCCATGTGTTGGCAAAAGCACTCAGTTATTCCTCACCGTAAAACACATTCAGGAAAAAAAAAAAGTCTTGGCAGAGATGGTGTCCCTCTGAAAAAGCGGGGCTGCTGTAAGCAGGCCCATAAATCAGCCGTCCCCAGCAGGCAGAAACATGCACCAGGCTCCAAGAGCTGGGAGCAGCAGCCTGGCTGCAGGCAAGCAAGGCAAGTGGGAGGCAAAGGAGGTGAAGTGCTGCCCAGGACAGCGCGCCTGGGAGAGGGGAAGGCGTGGGGAGGCTCGTGAGCGTGTCTGGCCTCCACACAACTTACTTCCTTCGGTTTTCCTTGTGATTTGTGGGAAAGGCAGATCCGCTCTTCTTTCATGCCTCATAAGCTTCATAGCTGTCAGACTAACATAACAGGTAATTAACTACTAAACAGCCATTTTCTCCTCTTCTCCTGAGGGAAATTGCTCACCATCCAGCTAGAAAATGTTTCTTTAGCGGTTTGCAAAAAGAGAAAAGAAAGTCAGTAGTTTCTGGCAACCAAAGGGGCTGCAGCAGCCAAATGGGGATGTCCATGGCAGCACTTGCAGTGCGGACACCAGTCCCATGTGCACGTGGGATTCAGGAGAAATGGAGCTCTCTAAAATGAGGGTGAAGATGCAGAGCAGGCCGTGCCACTGCCAGGCCACCGAATGCAGTCTGCACACCGCTGGCAATAACCCAGGCTCCTGCTCCTGCAAAAGAGAGGCTCAGGTACAACTGCAGACAAAAAGGACCAGCTAATGGTTCTGTGATGGTCCAGCAGGTAGGAGTTAGTCAACAGCAAGAAGAAAAATCCCTTCTTTCTCGCTGCATGCAAGATGAGGCTTCAGACAGCCTCCGTGCCCAAGCAGTGCCCTTCCTTCCTCACTGCTTTTCCAAGGACGGGCATGCTGAAGCATCTTTTCCCCATCTGTTGTTCTGACAGCAGTAGTCTCCACTGCCTCGTTACACGGACATTTGCTTTTGGGGATTATCAAGCCAATCTTCCCAGCCCAGCCTTCGTTCTGAAGTGCTCCAGGGCACGTTTGCACAGCAAAGACAGCACCGACTGGCAACGGGAGCAATCGCCTGAGCCAGGCAACGCAGGTTTGGGCTGCTGTGTGATCTCTTCTTGGCTGCTGGCCTCACAAAGTGCTCACAGAACACCAAGTGCTTCACACTGAGTCTTGATCTCCCTCCCGACATGGTCTCACATCATGCTTCCAACTCTGAGCAAGTGTTTAGCCTTCTTTTAAGGACCCATTCCCTGCCCCTCAGCACAGGCCAAACAGGCTTCTGGCTCATGACAAACATTTTCCTAAACAGAAATCCCAAAGCAGATCCAAAGTTCTAGAAATGCCAAATTTTCTAGCCTGAGGCAGAAACATCCAGTGCTGCAGTGAACAGGCAACCAAGAAACTCTACTTGCAGCCCTCAGTCAAAGACCACCACGTCGTCGGCACAGAGGAGCCGCTCCAGGAAGGCTGGCTTAGAAAAGAGATCCGCAGCCACGCTCAATGCGAATCGACACAAGAGGCAAAAGAAAAAAGCAGTTTGGCAAAAAACAAAAACAAAAGCCATCAGCCAAACTTTTGTTTGAAAGCCTGTCAGGTCTAGACTGCAACGTGTGAGGAAGGAACAGCTCAAAACCACAGCTGCTAATGGTTATGGATTTGGCAATCAAAATGTCTTTGTTAAAAAAAAAAAGTTAACTGCCTTACTATTGAGGTTACAAACCGCAGCCTTGATGCATTGTTGCAGTCAACATCCTCCCTGCTGTTTTTGAGAGCTTACATCTGCTGCTGGCAGATAATGTGCTGGCATTGGCTCCTTCTATGAGAATGCACAAGGAATTTTGCTAGCCAGCCTGCCTTCCTTTCCCCTTCTTCCCACAATCATGCCTGCCAGTTGTTGCCTGTTCTGCCCCTCACTTGCTTGGCCAGCAGGCAACCAGACACACAGGCAGCGGGCTGGTATCACCACGGGATCTTCCCTGGACGGTCTGAGTCCTCCAGGGGCGTTCCGTGCCTCAAGCTGTGGTTCTGCACCACGAGCTGTACTTTGACTCAAGGGGCAGGGGAAGCAATTAAACGTAGTAAGCAACAACAGGACTTTGAAATGTAGGTGTAATACTTAAGTTCATTCTGGTGCACTTGATTTTGAATCACTGAACCATGGCAGTGGAGGCAGGGCACGTCACGTCCCCTCTTCTCTCCCAAAACCAGCCTGTGACACAGGACCCACAGCCACCAACACCCTTCTGTGGCTCAGATCCCACCCCTGGTAAACCTACAAGCAGCATGAGAAGGACCTGAGATGTTTACAGAATGCCTGACAAGCATCAGGGGAAACCGGGTGGACTTGGAAAAATACTCAGTAGTGTAAAAGGCTCAGCTGAAAGAACCATCTCATACTCCAGTGCCAAGGGAGCGTGGAGGCAGGGCTAACCTCAGCTGCAATGCAGCCCCACTGCTTGAGCTGTCAGGAGGAAGCACGGCAGTGGGGAGGAGAGAGGCAACGAGGGGATGAGGAGAAAACAGGGCACCTGCTTCTGCTCAGAGCACCTGCACCCTGCTAGATGCAGCCAGGCATTTTCAATCAGCTCCATAAAGTCCTTGCTTTTTCCTTTGAAACTCTGATTTAAAGACTGGTGCAGCCGAGCTCAGCACGTGAGGAAGATTAAACCTAATTTTGGTGAATGCAGCTCGGTGCGGATCAGACACCCACATCCCTGCCCTGCTTTCTTCCAGCAGCCACCACTCCCCGCTGTGACCCTCGCTGCTGCTCCCTGAGAGGCACGACACGGCCGGCGGGCTGCTGGCGCTATTGATCTGGTCACTGAGGCATCAGGCTATTTCTCAAAGCCAGGATTTGCAGCTGAGTGACCGGCCTGTTCGGGGCTGTGAAATCGATGCCGTGCCGCTGAAAGCTGAAGCAAGTCAAGTCTTTGGGCCCTCAGCTGCGTTCTGTAGCTGCCGGTGCCCCTACTGTTTAGGATCACCACCTAAAGGCATGGCCATGGCTCAACCCAGCTGAGCCACAGCTGGGAAACCAGGGCACCTGGCTTGAGGTCGGTGTTACCTAACCCTCAGTTTCAGGATTAATAAAACCCAAGCGCCAAGAAGAAGGCAAGTAACAGTGACCGCATCGGAAAGAAACAAATTCCCAGATCGCTGACTAGTTTGTTGAAATGGTAGCAGAGGCTAAGTCCACAGTCATCATTAATTAAGTCATATACTTCAGCCTTGGCTTCATTTTTTCCCTAGGGTCTATGAAACCATAAGACAGGGCAAGCTAGCCTCTATCATTCGATTTCTTTGGCATGTTAATGCATTCCTAAATTAATCATCATCAAGTGACAATCTCTCCTTCATCTTAACAGTGAGCAGTGGCCTCGGTAAACCTGCTGGCTTATGCAAGGCAGCTGGAGCATTAGAACAGCTTCTGATGAAAACCAAAGCACTTCACATACAGAAAAACTCCCCCATCTCTGACCGTCGATAATCCAAACCAGCTGCGTGCCTACTCTGCTTCTACAACCAAGAACCAGAGGTGCTTTGTGCCTAGAGGAACTGAATAAAGACACGCATCACCTGTAGGTCCCTGCAGACCAGACTAACACCTCAGGCCATTGGATCTTGCGTCAGGCTCCGTGTGAATAACAAATTCAGCTTAGGAGAACTCAGAGACCCGTAAAGTTCAAAGGCCTTCCTGTTGGTTGCAGTCACTAACAGCCACCTAGACATCTTTCCTTTTGCACTAACCTGATCTAGTCCCCAAAACCCAAAACCTTGCTAAATTCATTCATCTGTAGAGATGTGATAACCAAGCCTTGGGAACCAGAAGCATCTCTTTGGTGGGAGTGAGCAGAGGAGTCTCCTGGCTACGTGCACCAGACAGCTACGCCACTGCAAAAAAGAGCTTTTGCCTCACCTGCAGCTTGTGCTAGGAAACCTTTATGGAGGTCCTCATGGAAAGTCATACTTAAATGTCTGTATGTTCATAATGTTCTTCAAAGTATATTTCAACGTATGTGTTTATGTTCCTCCCTCTCATTATGCTATTTCTTGGGAAAATACCACTCGTGTGTTGTTCCTTTCCTTGCAGATAACCTGAAAAGGCTCTCTGGATTTTAAACGCAAATTTTCTACCTCCCTCCTTCATTCCTACAGGATAAATTAAATCACGTCTTGTATGCTTAGCGCCCAATTCTCTTTTTTTTTTTTTTGGCTGTTATTTCCACTGGGGAGGAAAGAGGAGGACAAGAGATTAAACGTAAATTTCCTGAGGGGGAAAAAAGAAACCTATTTAAATGATAGCTGCAATCTCGTGGCACAGAAATAGCTTAGACACGTTCCCTCGTGCAGATTTAGGACACCAAGCGATCACCTAGAAATGAAAAATAAACACTTTACTCCCGTCAAACATAATTATCTGATATTTCAATCCAAGATTATAGCTACTGCTAGGTATCAGTATCTGTGTGTGCTTGCATTTAAAATAAGTCCAAACACACCTATCAACTACCAAAATAGCAGCAGCGGAAATGTTCTTTTTCCAGTTAAAGTAACAGTCTCTCTGATCAAAGTCATTAGCAAAATGAACATGGACTTCAGAACACATTAAAACAGCATAAATGTAAATAGTTCTCTGCTTGCTTTAGGCTCCTGCCAAGCCCTGCCTGCACCATCCCACGTTTCCTCAGTTACCAGTGCTGAAGTCACCAACACCTAATGCAGGAAAAGAAAGGCAGCTCCTTGCTCTGCTCGAGGTGTCGGTGACGTCAGCCCGCAGCAAGGAAAAGCAGTCATCAACACTCAGATCTTGACAGGGGAAAAGTTTCCAGGTCACCTCTAGCACCGAAAAACATAACAAAGGGATCATTCTGATCCGAACCAGTGCTTTTTGGGTGGCTGCCATCAGCAGGAGGAAATGAGTCCAGAAGGCACTCCAAGGAGGCGCAGGATGCCTGAAGCGCCGCTAGAAATACTGAGATGTAAGAGCCACACAGAGGGATCTGCTGGCACCAGCCCTAGGCAGCGGGCTGAATTCAGAAAGCAGCTTTTGCCTCACTCCCCTGGGAGCAAAGCAAGCTACACCAAGTGCCTCGGGTGGACTTTCCTACCCGACAGTAATGCAGCTCCTTGAGCGGCTTCTATCGAAAGAGCATAGCAATGAAATTAGTATACATCATCTCTGAGAGGCAAGTGCTGCCTTTATTTCCTGCATGGGAAAGAGACCCAGAGGAACTTACTGAACTAGTCCATACCATGAGCAGCATAGCCGGGATTAGGGCGATGTCATCTGACGTGACGCTGACTTTAATCACAAGGACATCTCTCCTCAGCAAACATCCTCCTCTGCTCTCTGCCAGCTACTGCATGCAAGATCTTGTCCTGTCATCACTTCTTGCACAGCCCTGCAGACCTGCAAACCACTTCAGCAAACCAAGCCACCTTCAAACACTGCACGCTGCAGGGCTGACCCCTGTGAAGGGGTTATGCAAGGCCAGACCTGCGTGCCCAGTAATAACATGAGTAAGTAACCAGTCCCAAACAATAAGGCAAGCACTTGCACAGATGGAAAATATATATATATATATATCAAAAAATATATATGCTCAGGACGGATGGATCAGCAAGAGCCTCCCTTGTCTAGTGGAAAGGATGGTCACAAGAGTCAAAACCAACTCCTGCGGCTGCTGGAAAAGGCAGGATCAGCATCAAACAGCAGTGAGCACCACAGGGAACTATTTCATCTTCAGCTGGTGGGGACAACCCACAGACACAGCTTGCTCTGTGCTTGTGGAATTACTCCTTGTGGAAAACACAGAAGCTTCCAATAAAAGTTGGGGAGAGGAAATAAAAGAGGAGAGGCATGAGCCTGAGCACAGTGCCTGAGGAGCCCAGCAGTGCTTTCATCCCCGAGGTCTCTGCGGCAGCATCGCGTTGCCTCACCTGGTAACACACTGCAGCTCTTTAGAAAATTGCCAGTGCTTTCTGCGTGCTTTAAGTGGGGAGATAATAACATCGGCCTTTCCTGCTCCCCCTGAAGCTAGGAGGAGACCTTGTACACCAAGTAATCGCTGGATTACACTGCTGACAAGTGGCTTTGGGGCTGCTTGCTGATAAACCCGGGCTGAATCACCAGTGCGATCAACAGGGATTTCCTGCTCCCAGCGAGATCCAAGTCGGATTTCTGAGCTGGCACTACACACGTTTTTGTCTTGCTAGCATTTGCAATTAAATTAATCTCAGCTTCTTCCAGATGCACTTGCGGCTCATTCTAGTCCAAAACCACACACATTTTCTCATCAACCAACTTCAGGAGGATGCTCAGATCTCCGAGTTCAATCTTACAAGCTAGAGAAACGAACACTGCATACACTGAGCCTGGGTAAAAAGACTGAGAAAAACACTGTAAGAAGATAACAAATTAGGAATTGTAACAATTTTGTGATGTGGGAGCAGCAAAAGCCGGAGAGATATAAGCCCATATCTGCTATGGCTTTTGAGAAGAAAATCTCTTGCCTATAGGTATGATAACAGCATTCCTGGAATACGCTGCTCTCTTCCTGGTGTTTCTCCAGCCAAGTGGTGTCAGCAAACTGAGAGGAATTTACAGAGACTATTCTTTACTACTAACTTTCTCTGTGGAAAGATTAAAAATACTAGTTACCAGCATCTTGATTTCAAGATTTTAAGAAGCTGTTGCAGCCATTTTACCAGCACCTAAAGAACATGCCCACAGTGGAAGAGGAGAAATTGTGGATGATGATGATAGAGAAAAAAAAAATCCTACACTGACCCCAGAATTTCTTCCTCTTCTCTCTGCCAAGGTTTGCTCCTACACAAAGGCCAAAAGTGCCTGCAGACTGCTGTATTCTTGTCCCAAAGCTCCCTCTGCTGCTCACAGTCTAACCTTTTCCCCTTCCTGAGAGGACTGACCCTGACTGAAAATAAGCAGAGGCACTCTCTTTATCTGTGGTTTCGACATCTCTCTCGTAACTTCTGCTTGCTGAAAACCTCAGGGGTGTGGGAAGGCCAGAAAAACACTTTATGAGAAACTGCCATCAGCCACTGATGCCTCTCCAACTCTTTGTGGCTAGAAGGCACTCATCAGTCTGCTGCATTCTTCTCCTCTGTCTCAAAAGTCTCTGTCTTGCTCACTATCAAGTGAACATGTTGGGGTCTGCCAGCTCCCATTCGACCGAACCCGGCCGTACTTGGGGCAGTGGAATGAACAGACAACACTGAGGACGAGCCTACTGTGCTCAGCACTAAGTGCATGCTTGGTAGATCAATAAAACACACCCTGAGAAAAGCAGCTGCTCCACATCTGGGGCACGGAGTCTGACATGGCATTGCTGAACAGAATCAGACTTCACGAGGTCTCTAGTCCAACCTCATTAAATAGGAGAAGTTTGAGGAAGAAATCTTGAGCACCAACACCTGCATTCAGTCTCCAGAGAGACGATGGCCAACCGTTCCCATTCCATTTTGGGTGCAACAGTCCCGCCCGTTTTCAACCCCACCAGCTCCACGCAGACATGTTTTGGACACACACACACTGCAGGAGGCTCCAGTGACAGCCCTGCTGAATGAAAGGCTCTGACCATTTGATCGTAGAGGGCTATCAGATTAGTCAAGAATGCTTTACTCTAGGTAAAGTCCTCTCTGAGATGGAAAGACCAGCGTAGGCGTACTGCCTGGCTGGGCACAACATTGAGCAATTCTGTCAGCATCTTGTGTTTAAGAGAAACAATCAGTGCTTTAGAATAAGTCATATTCAGGTGAGATTAAGTCCCTGAGTTTGCCAAATGAGGACAAAAGCCAGAAATACAACACCCACAATGTTCTGTTGCACATTGGTCCACACAGGGAAAGCAACAGCTGTCAGGAGCCTTTGCAGCATGATCTTTCAAGCCTGTGATAGTTTAATTGAGCAGCTACGAGTCCTCACTGAAAAGAGTTTCATGGTATATGAGAAACCAGTTTCAACAGTGCCAGAGAGGCTGACCGTAGACTGAATCCTTACAGCCCACCACTGATGAAACATACTATCTTGCTTAGCCATACAGACCTGCATGGTAGAAGTGCCTCCTCTCATCACACTTGAATTTTTTCATTCACCATCTTTTCAAGAGCATGTCAGAAAAGTGAGTTACACCACTTGGAAAAAGCTTTCCAGAAAACAGAGGCTTGTAAAGGTTTTACTGCACTCACCTGCTCATTTAATTGCTCTTGTGATAAACAATCAGTTACGTCCACACAGCCCAGGAGGCACCCTGAGGGATAATCATTTGGGAATGCCACATCTGCATCAGAAGAAATATATTTTAAGGGGCACACAACTCCACACACATTGCTGGGATCTCTCAATCCCCAGGTACCCCTCCCTCCCTCAACACACCTGCACTTTTTAAGGCAGAAGAAAACATCAAGCGAGTTTAACATTCTGAAGTTCTTTTTTTTCCATGTTTGGTAGGGAAAGAGCACACTGGCATAAACTGTGTGCGTGCTGAAAATGGTAAAGGTTGTGCATTGCTCTCCCCACACATCCTCACCTGCATGACATTCCTGCACGTGCCGTTTCAGCTGAGCGGCGTGCAGAAACACTGCACAGATGTGTGTGTAGTGCAGCCACTAGCATTCACCTGCCCACATGAGAGAACAACATTTGTGTGGCAAACTGCATGTTTTCCTTCTTGATTCCCACAAGGTCAGAATACACAAAAAGCCTTTAACATCCCTGTGAACAGACAGCAGCACAAGCAGCTTCACACACACACACACACACACACACACATACACACACACACTTGCTATCTCATTGCTTGAGCCCAGAATAAAATGAAGTCCCTTGCTATCAGAACTGATCAGGGAAGTCAGGCACAATTCTCTCGTGTTTGTGCTTGGAGTATCTGAGCAGCCTAAGGACGGAGTGAAAGCCTGCCACCATACCAATTCAGCTGATGAAATGCACAAAGGATGAAGAGAATTCCAAGAACAGAAAGTAAAAAAGTGAAGCAGTAATAACTGCTCAGCAGAAAGGGCTTTCTGACACTGCTCATTATGTGGCTCAACGCACAAAGATCCAAGGAGAGAAGCTCACCTTTGTGAAGCAGCATTCTATAGGTGGTCTCCAGTTCAGAGATCTCCTGAGGAGAAGGTCTTTTGGCAGTAGCTGCAATCCACAGCCGCCCTCTATGAGATGTGTACCAGGTCCTGCCCTCCACCCTAGGAGAACAAAGGAGAGTTTAGGACTTAGATTTCAAGAGAATTCCCACACAGACAGACTTTCAATCTAACGTTTTGCTAGGTAATCCCTGTCACTAAACTTTGCCCTGACTACATAAACCTCAAGCAGCATGTCAGAACTAGAGAAAAGCTGAGAAGGGCAAGAAATAATGCCACAAGCAAAGCGTGTCCTCACTCCTGCAGAGTAACAGCACAAAAGGACATCAATCTCCTGTAAAAACAACAGTATGTTGGAAGTGTGCAGGACAATCTGCCTGAATAATTCACTCATAAGCTCCAAAGTTGAGCATGCGATCTAGAGAGTAACAAATGACCAGACAGCTGCACAGGGCAGTCCTCAGCCAAGGATCTCAGTGCAGGCACCAAGTGCCAATGCTGCACCTGTACCAAAGCAGCCCAGATCACCTCAATGCAGAATCAGAGGCGATTCAGAATGCAGAATCAGGGAACGCTGAGATTTACGGCATCTTCAGACTGAGAGAAGAGAAAGCTTTGCTCTCTAACATGAAGCATTCTTGGAAGGAAAGAATAAAGGCTAAAGATGATTCCTTGTTCTATATTAACGGCAGGAAAGATGAATTAACATGCCAGGGGTGCTGGGCTGAAGCAGCTTCTCTTTGGAATCCAATTCCTAGGCCAGAGGGGAAAGGTGTGTGCAAGGTATGGGGCGGGTGTTTTTTGGTTTGGCTTAGTTTAAACGAAGTCTGCGACCGCTACTGGCTTCTTTATCACAGACAAAAAAAACAGAAGAACATTTTCAGCCCATTTACCTTTCGTGTTCCAGAAAGGTACGCCCTGACTGCACCACAGAAATGTCAGCATCTCTCCATAGCTTGAACCTTCCATTTAGCTATTTTCATGAGAGACGGATTCACTGGGCTTCTCCAACATTTTACTCTTTACCTTTTGATTCCTCTTACGAGCAAGGAAGCCCAAGGCTGGTGCATGCTGAGGCACCAACCATCATCTGAGATCTCCTGTAACTCCCGGTCCTGAATCCGCAGTCTGTTCCGCTCTGAGCCAAGCTCCTCTCCAGCACCCATGGAAGGGGTGGCTCCCCTGTGTGGGAGCAAGCCAGTTTGGTCCACCCACTTCAGCGTTCAAAAGAAACAAGAAAAAGGTTAGCACCTCTCTAGTAGCAATATATACAAATGTAAATCCTACTTGAAGCTTTCCTTCACTTAAAGATAGCGTTACGTTACTCTTGCTGGGATCATTCCTCCTTCCCTGCAAAGAGAACGCTGCACTTGCACACCGGGCAAGTGTCGGCAGCAGGGAAGGCAGAGCGGATCCACTCTGCGTAGCGCTTCCTTTCTGTGCATCACAGCTAAACTACAGATTTAAAGAATAAAACTGCAGGCTGGTGTTTTAAAGTATTCATAGGGAAATATAATTTTCAAAGCATGTTCACAGCTGTCAACACTCAAAACTGGTAATCATCCTGCTTCCAGAATGCTCAGCACACACCAGTCGTATCATGATTAAAGTAGAATTAGACGCTGGAGATTACGCCCATCGAGATCAGGAAAGTTGGCAGAAAAGGCTTCATTAATAGAGCTGAAAAACAACACAGCCTTAGGCTGACTCTCAGAAATTCTTCCAAATTCCTGAAGAGGTGGCAGGAGACTGCAACCCAAATAAACCAAACCTCCTGAGAGCAGGGCCGAGAGCAGGGAACTGGCAAATCTTCTCTAACTCAGATGGCAAACGAGAATCTCTGAGACAGGGGAGGAATGAGGCACTCCTACAGGGACACTAGAATTCACAATTCTTAAGCACGGCTCTCCCACAGTTAGCCAGAATTCTGCTCTAAGTGAGTTCAACTCATTCAACAAAATTCAACCCATACTGACCAAAGGAGCAGGCTGAAGAAGATGGGGATTCACTAACACACCAGAACCCGGAGTTATCTTTGCTTCTGGGTTGGCAGCTGGCTTGTTCAGTGTGCCACAATTAATGGCTTCAATAGTTTCATCCAGTCTGCAAGGACAAATGAGAGGCATGAGAATTCCCTCCTTCCCCCTGGCAAAATCCCTGCAAAAACACCTCTAACTCGAGTCTGTTTTTTAACCACTTTCCCTAAACTAGAGGATTTCTTTGCTTTAATTTCAATGGTTATTCTTATCTACCACAGAAACTCTTCCAGGTTGGAAGCCGAGATTAATTGGTTCTGGTGAGATAGTCCTTCTGCAACAACTTTGCAGGGAAGATTTATGTCTAAAAGATGTGTTAGCTCTGCAAGTCTCACACGGTCAGGCTTAGGCAGCGATCTCAGCAGGTCTGTGCTGAAAGATTATATGCCACAAGCCAAAAAGACCCTGAAGGAAGGAAAGGATGTGGAACTGCATCCTACAAACCGAGGTGCCCTTCAAGAGAATGGCTTGCACAGCTTTCCTCACACTTACTCTTTCAGTAGCTACTCTTCACCAGCAGCATTTTCACCTCCCTGCCCTTACTTACTTGCTGTGGTACTCAGCCATCCCACTGTCCTCCTCCAGAATCTGCCTTCCAGCAAAGTCGATGGTGACTTTTTTGGCAAGGCGGGAGGCATGGCGCAGCTCCTGCAGCTCCTGCTCTCTCTTCTGTAGGGCCTCCCTCTCTTGCTTGGAGAGCCACTGGTTGGAGTCCGTCGCAAAATAATCCGACTCGTCGTCAATGACCTGGGTGCGACGCACGCTGGTGACAAAGGACCACAGTGGTAAAAGATCGGCCCAGAGCAGCACCGTGTGCCCCAAACCTGCCTCTCTTCCTGCTCCCTTCTGCTCTCAGACACAAAGCAAAGACATCCCAACAGAACACTGGAGGAGTTCGTTCTTGTGCTAGTGAATGAGAACACCAAACTTCAGTGCTCACAGCTGGGACTTACCTGGTCCTGTCAAACTCCAGCAACTTGTCTTTGTGTCTCACGGCCATCTCCAGGCCTGCTTTCAGTCTAGCTTCTTGCCGAGGCAGTAGGTCTTTGCTTACTGCATCCAAATTCCCTGAACTTTCAGCACCTGAGATAGAAAATAAATCACAGCTTCAGGGAAAGCCTGGCTGTTTAAAGGCCAGTCTCGGTGGGGCTGGCTGCAGAGATGCCCCTAAAATAAATGCCATTCAAGGAGTGAAAAGAAATACCTTGCATCAACATCACCATCTGTCTAAACCAACTTCTGACCTTTCCTCCAGCCTCTTTTGCAAAGCTCCCCCTCCAAGTCCGAGAAAGCATTTAAAACTGAGTGACAGTGTCTAGGCAGTGTTTAAGAGACAAAGTCTTGGTCTTTGATTTTCCTTGGGCTTTTGCAATCGCTTGAGCAATCCAAACCCATTGTCAGTGCAGGCCTCGAGGGTCCTCCTAAAAGCCAAATTATCTCCTAAGCGCTGTTAGCACTACAGAGAGCCTCTAGTCACAATAGTCGAACAATTGTTAGTTATGCACAGAGCAAGCCTTGTGCCTGCTGCTCTACAAGCTTCTCACAAACGAAATCTTCCCACAACACACCTCAGCAGGTTTGTGAGACCAGCTGTTGTTAGAGAGAGAGAGAGAGAGAGAGAGAGAGAGAGAGAGAGAGAGAAACAGAAATATATTCCCAGCAATAATCTCTTATTTCTTACCATTTCTGGCTAGAGGCCAAAACCCAACCAACCAAACAAAAGGAGAAAATGTTTGCCTCACAGCAACAATGGAACGGGCCAATGTGTTTCACAGAGGACAACACACAGCATAATGCCTTTATTTCAGGGAAACAAAAAAGCCTTTATTTCCCTGTAGCAGCCAATCCACATTTTTTCCCCTCCTGAGACAAACAGCCATCCACATTTCAGCCTTCACCTACACAGAGGATGCACAAAGGGGGACCCAGCAGAGACAGAAGTGGAGCCCAATAAAACGGGTAAGAAAAGGGGATCCTGAAGTACAACAGGATCTCTACAGGAAGATTATAAACAGGCAGACTTTGACCAGCTATTGTTCCTGACGACTTGCAGGACCTCCTGCACATCAGCAGCTCTAATCAGATGTTGACACCAAGACCCACAGTAAATACTTCCCCGGTTCCTCAGCAAAGTTTATTTTCCAACCAAGAACACCGTGACCTTGGCTACATTTCAACTCAACTCAGACAAACATCCCCATAATGCAGAGGTCTTCACTGGGAGGCTGGCTATTATTTCCTTGCGCTTTCCTTGTCTCCGTTCTTATTTTTAGCTCCCAAGATAAGTGTTAGATGAGAGAAGCCATTAGAAAACTTTAACCAACACCTCTCTCGCCCCGGTAAATCAGATAGCAGCACTCCATCTTCCACAGCACACATTCCACCCAGGACTTAACCCGATTTTCAAGGACTGCTGTGCTGATCCAGTTCAGAATCGATTCAGGAATGCCTGACAAGCGGCCCCAGGGCCTCTGGGCGAGGACAGGACATCGCACGCTGCCATTTGACACTCGCACTTATCACCACCCCATGTCCAGAAACGCTTGCTGAGGGCACACAGCATGCTGGCTTCCCAGCCACCCCTGTAATGCCCACCACAGACACCATGCAGAAATGAGGGCAAGTGTCACAGGGAAATTTGAAGCTACAGCAATTCATAAACTGCCCTGGCAGTTTGCATCTCAGAGAAGTGTTCAGGCACCAGCTCATAAGAAAGAGTTTCCCTTTGACTTCGCCAACAATTCGTCATAATTATGATTTAAACAACATATACAACATACACAGATACGCATACATATCTTGCTTCTACAAAGCAAGCACACAGTGAGGCAAAGAAAATGGGTTGGGTTTATTACTTTAAGATATGAGATGATACTAACCTGCCATGAGCTTCTTCAGCAGCTTCTGGCTCTTGTTTGAGTCCCGCTGAAGAATGTCCTGCTCTTCCTTAGTGCACACCTAAGTGAAACAAAGGCTGAGAAGGACATCGTGTGGTCAACCAGCTTCAGAGCTTGGGACAACAGCTCAAGGCGAGGTGCTTAAAATGGCCACGATAGCCCACGCCTTTACTCCTTCTGTGCTGTTTACATAGGGAGAACCCTGACAGCTTGCTCTTAACTAACAACCACCTGTGCAAGTTGTACAGCCTGGTTCTGCGGGCAGACACACGGCTGAGTGCTCTCAGTGGACAAGACACACTCAGAAGCTTCCTGAGCAGATGAACAAGGCTTAACTCACAGTCCTTTTCTGGGTTGATCATATGGAGATAAAGAAGTCTTTGAAAACTGCAGCCAACCTGATTCCAAACCTTGTCTACACCCAACCAATATCCTCTCTCTGCTGAGGTTAACTTGACTGAATCTACACTCTTTAGCTTGCCCCTTTCTCCAAAAGGTGCCCTTTCAACCAAATGCAGGACATAAAGGAGATCCCAAATGATGCTGGCCCTGGCTTCTCTCCTCCCACTTACAGGCCAAGCTGGGCTGTGCCAGGAAAAGGCTGAAGCCTGGCACATGTTTTGGACACTGGTGCAATGCAGGGACAGCCCTAAGAGTTGCTCATAAATCTGGTAAGCTCCAAAGTGATGCAAATTACAAGGGAAACTTCTCTGCTCTCTTCATAAAAACACAAAAGTGACTTGAAGCCAGTGAAGTTCTTCCCCTGGCAGCAGATGCCACAGGCTCTTTCCTGCACAGCTCTGGCTCCTGGGGCATTTTGCTTAGGGAGCTTTGATCCAAGACAAGAAGCTAAATCAGCACATTTAAAGCCCTGAGCAAAATATGAATCTACGTAAGAATGGCAAATAAAAAAAACCACCTCATTACTAACCAGTGAACCACAAAACAAGCAGGGTCCAGAGCCTTCCTGCTCACACACAATGCGCCCGCAGACCAAGCAGTTGTTGATGAGCCTGTGTTTCTGGCCCAGGCACTCGCAGGCGTGACGGCCAGGGATCAGGACAGCCAGCTTGTCTTGCCCTTCTTTGGTGTACAGGCTGACATATTTGGTCTTTCTCTTACAGGAATTGCTGCTGCTTGCAGTGCTGTTCTCCTGCGCCTGAGAAGAAAAATAAAGAAACTGTGTTCACACTGTAATACTAGCAGCAAAGAGAAAGCACTGATACTTGACCAGGCTGAGAAGATTCAGATAATCTCTATTCTGCCTAATCAGAATGAAATTTCCCCAGGTCCAAACCAAGACAACTGAAGAACCTTAGGCCTACCAGAAACAATCTGAGGCATCTCACCAGAGCAAGGACATGAGGATGCTGCAGGCCCATTTGATCTCTTTGCTGCCTCTGCAAGCTGAAATCACTTGGTCTAGATGGCAGATGTGCTGTCAGTCCTGCACGTGTGCAGAGGTTTTCCATGTTCTGCACATTCACGTAAGCACAACAGACTCCAGACACAAACCCATCTCACGACACTGGGTGAGACTGGTTTCAAGTAAGAATTGCACACTAGCCATGACCAAGAAAAGGTAGGACTTAATATCTTGATGTCAGCAAGCATCATTCACATATATATGTGAATAGAGTTTTAATTCACCACTGAGCAAAAACTTGCCTCTCCAGCTGCTGCATGCTCAAGGATGGACACGTAGCTCACACACTGGTTTTCCCAGCAGTAGTGACACACTGCAGCATACCTCTTGCTTGGCTGCTTTCACCAGCTTACCCTGTGCTCTGCTCTAAACCAAGCCACTAGCTACATACTAGCTACATAATCGAAGCCACATAGTTGCACAATGCTCAATGTTTGTAGCACAAAGGAATCTATTGCAGATCTAACAACGCCAGTTAAGTGCAGCACACTTCCACACACTTGTCCTGCATAGCACGCTCAGCAGAAATAAAATTCAGAAATTCAGTCTGGGTAACTTCAACAATATTTGATAGCACAGGTCATCAAATTTGATGTGCTTAATCTGACAAACAGTTCTATTGAATGGAAAACAAGTCTGCTACAAAATGTATTAATTAGCTATCAGAAAGAAAGGTAATGAATGCTTGCTGGCCTTGCGCTGCTTTAAGACGGGATATCCTGGTTTTTAGTGTTTCTATTCTCATATTCTGCAGCTTCTTTCAGTAGATCTCTAACATTCAAGGCCTCCTCTCTGGAGCAACACGACACTGAAATATTCCAGTTTTCCATGAAGGCTTTATTCATTGTGATCGCCAAGTTTCAAACATAGCAAGAAGCAATGTTTTGCCCACATTCCTTAACGCCACAAGCTTCAAAACTTCACTCCCACCATTCCCAAGAATATTATTCGCCCCATGGCAGGAAAAGATCCTATATACACACAGAGCGAGTACTGCCTGCTCAAACCTGCATTCAGCTTCAAAAGGAGTGGCAACACAGAAACAGCCACCATGACAGGCAGCCATGCAGTCAGTGCTTGTGTATCAGATGCACCCACCTTGGCCAGGTCGAGGGGGGTTTTTACTTCCTCCACATGTGTGCTGGGCTCCACGTATGCAGGTGTTTCCTGTTTATTCCTTCCTTTCCGTTTCCCCTTCTTTGCTTGGTCTCCAGCCCGAGGTGCCTCTGACGTCTCTGCAAGAGCATGTAAGCACAAAGGCTCAGAGCAAGCGGCAATGGGACGCCCCTCAACTCCTGCATCCACTTAGGGAATGGAAATTGGCTACGTCGCAACATACAGAAATAGGACCACCCATAGGCATTAATGGTAAACGATTTTCTACAAGCAGAATAACCAAGACTATAATCAGAATAATCAAGATACTTAACACTTTGACTCCTCCCTCCCCATACCACTCACCATCCTTTTTCCGATAGGCCGGTAAGGGCTCAGCAGGTGACTGCGAGGACTGCTGCCAGCGCGACAGCAGCTCTTCCACAAACCTCCCCTTCTTCCCCTCGGTGCCTTGGAGGAGATCGACCACGTACTCACGGATCTCATCCTCGTTTGTTATCGACAGGATGTAGCTGCAGGACGGTGGGATGGAGAGAAGTGGGTATGGGGGCTTTTGTTGTCAGGACTCCAACGGCCCGATCACACACACAAGGAACTAGCAGAACTCATCTCCCCTCTTCATACCAGGTTTTTGTGGAGTTTATACGAAGGGAAAGGAGGTTTTCTAAGATAAATGCTTAAACAGATGCATTGGGAAAAGTCTTGTGGCTTTTTCAGTTAAATTAATAATAAAGGAAAACAAACAGCCTTTCTTCCTCCATTCTGGGCTAAGCAACATTCCCATTGCCCCATAATAATAATAAATAATCAGTGGGTTGTTGTTTGCACTCACACAAAGTAAAAAAGCCTAAACCTAAGACAATGAGAAGCTCCTGCTTAACCACACAGAGCCCACAGCTAAACGCACACCCCTCTCAGTGCCAAAATCAAGGGCAATCCAAGGCACAGAGGTGCCACGGAGCCATTTGGGGAGCAAGTCCCCCAAAGCCAGAGAAAGGGGACAGCTGCTGGGTTCCCTAAACAGCTTCCTAACGGCAGCTGTCATGCTGGGTAACAGACGGGTCCGAAAGAAGGATTTCCCATTTGCTCACGTAGAGGATGTGAACCAGGAGTCGAGGAGAACCGAAGGACAGGCGGGGGACCTGGGGAGGGCCGTGAGGGGAAGGGGAACCCTCAGGAGGTATGAGGCACGGGGAGGACGTGAGGAGGACCGAGGGACCGGGTTGGGGAAACGGGAGCGGAACGGGGGAGCCCAGCGGCAGCGCGATGCAGGGCGGCCCGTGGCGGCAGGCAGGCTCACCGCACGACCTCCTCGCCCACGTCCAGCCCGAAGTCGCCGCGCAGGCGCCGCACGCACCAGCCCAGCAACGCGCCGGGCACCGCCATCTTCGCGTGGGGACGGGAAATGGCGGCGCACCGCCGTCCCCCGGAAACGCGGCCCCGGCGCTCCCGTTCCGCGGGTCGAAGAACCGAGCGGCGTTCTCCTCGGAGAGCTTATCGCGTTTTGCCCTAGCCGGGCTCTGGGACAGGTCACCCTCTCAGGGCTTTGTTACGAAAAGCGCAGCCTGTACGCACCTACCCTATATACAAATATCGCATACACGCATCCTTTTTTAATACTAAGTGACGGAGAAAAAGCTGGCAGAGCAGGAATGCCTGGTGCCGCCGCCGATACGGCCGCGCTACGAGGACCGCGAGGAGCAGAGCAGCAGCAGGATGAGGGCTGCGCGACCCCGGCCATCACAGAGGGCGAGGGGGCCGAGCGACCGGCCGCGGGAAACTGCGATAAGAGACGGGAAACTGCACGAGATTCCGAGGAGGGGGACGCGGAGTTGGGCAGGAGAGCGGCCGTCAGCTACAAGCGCGGTCCGGGCGGTACCCGGCTCCAGGCTGCGGCTGAGCGGCCCCCGAGCGCGGGGCTGAGGCGAAACTCGGTGAGGGGAGGAGCGAGCGCTGAGGTAACTCGCTCTCCCATTGGCGGGTTGGTGGGTCGGCGCTGAGGTAACTCGCGCTCCCATTGGTGGACGCGTGTCGGTGGTGCTGCTGGCGCGGGATGGCGCGCATTAAAGGGAGCGGTGTTGGCGCCGCGCACCGTAAAGGTTAGGGCCGAGTTGGGGGCTTTCGTCAGGGCCCGTCGCTCACCGCCTGTCGCTCACCGCAGTGTTGGCCGGCCGCGCACCGCGGAAGGTGCTGAGCTCAGGCAGGCTCAACGCGGCCCGCTCGCCGCCGCGGCCTGCCCGGCGCATCGGGGAAAACCCGGTGTGTGTGAGGCCCGTTCCCGCCTGGCAGGAGGGCATCGAGGAGTTCCTGCGGCACAGCAGAACTGCGATCCCGACGGAGAAGCGGCAGGGAGCAGCGGGCAGGGCAAGAAAAGGCAGCACGAGGCTAGCTGAGGTCCTCAGGTTGCTTTCCTGCAGGAGATCTGTTTGCTCTCACAGTCTCGCTGAGCCCTTTCTGGCCCGCTGCCCTGCGGAACACGGCTCGTCGCGTGGAAAACAGCGGGCGTGATCTTAAAAAAACTGGGCTTCAGTTCAGCTTTCGAGCAGGACTAAAAGTAGACGTTTGAGAGGCTGTGGGGGAAGCTGTGGTAAAACTGGGGTGAAACTAAGTTTCTGAAGCACAGTGATAGCACACCGTGTCATGGAGTTCCCCGTGCCCTGGGACTTGTGGGCACAGAGTGAGCGGTGCGTAGTGGAGAACTTCACCTCTGTTATTATTGCTACTGCGACCTTAACGTAGTGTTCTGCTTTGGAGTTCCAGGTTCCTGAGGCCCCTTCTCATTTCTTGTAAGTCTGGTGATTTGATGATAATACCCTCGGTGAGGCCTGTGTGAACACTGCAGCTTCTTTAATTGTGGGGGGCGAAGAAGGAAACCCAAAACCCGTGGTCTTGAGTGCTTTCTGTAAGTAGATTTTAAAATGTTTTTAATAAAATAGGAACAAGCAGAGAACTGCTAACAGAAGTTAAACCAACTACCGTGGCAGCATTGCCTAATTTATTTGTCTCAATTCGTTAGAGCTCTTGCAAACATCCACGAAGACGAAAAGAAGAAATTCCCCACGCTGACAATAGATGTCAGCAGCACTTCCAGCTACCAAGGGCTGGGCTGTGCCGGTAACCCGGCAGTGCACGTTTTGCCTTTTTTTTTTTTCTTTTTTTTTTACATCAGAAAGGTGTCAGTGCTGTGAAGAGGTTTTTGGGCACGTAGCAAAGCAGCATTCATAGAGGTGATAGGTAGGGAATATGTGATAGTGGGGATTTGATGGTGCTGGGGCCTTGGGTAAGGACTGTTGCAGCCAAGCTCTCTGCATACCCCCTTTCCTGGTGTTTTTCTGCTTTCCTTTAAAAAAACAAACTCATTTCTGAGTAACAAACGTACCCATTTCTGTCCATTTGAAGCTGGTGGGCCTGCACATTGCTGCTGCACACCGAGCCGATGCTGAGGCTGCTTCCAGCAGGAGAAAGGAGGACGGGATGCAGCCTCCTGCCGAGTGCCAGCGGTGCGTGAGGAGCTGGCGGTTAGCGCACAGCCTGCAGGACGCCCCTCCGCTCCTCGTCGTTGCCCACTTGCCCCATGCTGACTGGGGCTGGCGACCCGTGAGGCCGTTCGGGTGGCGGCTCCTGGCGCGGCGCTGAGCGACGCCCGACAGCGGCACGATTGTGCGCTGCGCGCTGCACAAAGCCGCATTGTCACAGCCGGTGCGTGGAATGGGGCCGCCGCGCCCCCGGCGGCAGCCGCGCTGTGACAAGTGCCCCACAGCGGGGCCGCGCAGCAGTCCGGCGCTGCCCAGAGCGGCTGCGGGAGGCCGGGGCGGGCCGTGACACGGGCAGGACAGTGCGGGACGGGGAGCGGCTGTAAACTGGAAAGGGAGGTACGGGGTGAGAGCTGCGAAATTGTTCGCTGCGAGGGCGGGGAGCCCCGGCACACGCGGCCCTGGGGGCCTCGTACTTTAAAAAAGCAAATGGTGAATGTTAACGTGGTGAAAGCGCGCTGCCGGCTTTGTTGTACGGTTAGTTTGTGCCGTTCCGCGGCCGTTTCGTCCTCCCCGCCCACACGCCACCCCGACACTGGCCCGGCTTCCGCATGGCAACCGAACGCGGTTGCTAGGGCGAGCCCGCCGCCGCCGCCACCCGGAAGTGCTGCGGGGCGGTGCCGCCGCTTCCTCGCCATAGGGCGGTGCCTGGGGAGGGGGCGGGGCTTCCCCGAGCGCTTCCGGGTCGGCGCTCTCCCCGTCGAGCGCGGCGGAGGGAGGAGCAGCGGCGGGGCCTGGCCGGCCCAGCCCAGCTCAGCCCGGCGCAGCCAGGTAGGGCCCGGGGCCGGGGGGTTCGGGGCCTCGGGGCTCGGCCGTGCCGCGCCCGGCCTCTTCGCGAACGAGGGCTCGTTCGCGGAGCCGCCCTGAGCGCGGGCGGGAGCGAGCGTCCGTACCCGGAGCCGCCTCACCGGGTGCGGGGCCCGCGAGCGGCTGCCCCTGGGGCTCCGTTGTGAGGAGGGCTTGTCGCGGGTGGGGCCGTGCCGTGTTTCCCGGCGGAGCGGCGTTCCGAGCCGTGCCCGGGCTGCGTGCGGGGCTCCGGCTCCTTTGTGTCCCCCGGTGCCCGGGGAATCGGCCGTGCTCGGCGCGGTGTGGGCGCGGGGCTGGCCGGCGGGCCGGCTTCCACTCGGGCCCCGCAGCGCCGAGCTCCTGCCTTCTCTTCCCCGGGAGGCGGTGGGCTTTGCGGGCGCGCGGCCCGGCGCCCGGCCGTAGCGCTGCTCTCCGCTCTAGGAGCACCGTCCTCGTCCTCAGCTTCCCACCGGTCCTCCGGTGCCGCCGGTGTGCGCTTGGGCCTGATTTATTTTGTTATCGGTGACCTATCGCGTACGGGCTGCCGGCTGCCACTCCCCGAGTCCTTCAGCGCTCGGTGCCCCAGCTGCTGCCTTCGATTTGCATCGATCTCCCATCTCTGTAGCGGCCGAAGTTGCTTTTTTTATTGTAATCCCCTGTCGGTATCCCCGGCTGCCTGCCGAGGCTGGTGGGCGAGCGGAGAAGAGGGAGCTTTGTTCCCATGTAGCAGCTCTTATCAAATATTAGCGGCACATTCCCACAGAAACATTCCGAAAATACAAAGAGCTGCTTTGAGTGGTGAGCAGGGAGAGATCGCCTTCCTGCAGAGGGGTCCTCGCTGGATGTGGTGTTTTGGCGGCGAGGCTCTCCTGGGAGCGGAACACTGATGTTGTTCTGAGGGTCTGGGTGTTGTGGATGGATTTGCTGTGGTGTCCTGCATGCAAATAGCTGGGGGTCCTCTAGAGATGCTACTAATTATAAGTATTGTCAAGCAGTGTTGTGCAGGAGGGGTGACCCCAGGAAAAGTGCAACCTGTTGGCAAAAGATCTCAAATGTGTTGTGCTTAGAAAAGGTCATTCTGTCTTAGCAAAGCTCATAAAAACAAAGCGTGCTTAGAAAGCTTGACTGGTGAGAAATAGCCAGGGATGTCTGTTCTTGGTGAAGTTGCTGCTAGCGGTGTAGTGGTACCCTGGTATGGGTGATACAGAAAGCTTTTGGCAAAAATCCTGCTGACTCCAGTGAAATACTAAACTATGGGCTCGATAAAATCGCTGCCTTCCACTTATGCCTTGCATAAGTAGCTATTCTCCGTTCAGATACAAATGTTTCTTCCAGTGCTGTCTGCCATGAAATTCCATTTTCTGGACTCATTGAAGCGTCCTTTACTGCCTTTTCCTGTTGCTCTTTTTTTCGGGGAGGAGCTGCTGGGTTGTGAAGGCCTGCAGAAGCTCAATGGGAATCCCTAGAAGTGTATTTCCAGCTGCTTGCCTGAAATCCACGCTGCTTTAGACTGTTCGGGGTTGCTTGCCGTGCTGCTCTGCCTGGAAAGCTACTGTTACACTGATGGGTGAGAACTTGCTTCAGGTTCTTATCGCAACCTTACTTACAGCCAGCATGAACCCATCTGTTTTTGTGCCAACACCACCTCTTCTCTTCTCTGGTGCTTTCAGAGTGTGCTTTGCTCTTGGCTTCTTCTTCCCAAGCCCCACGGTTGCTGTTTTCCAGGTTAGCTGCCTATCTCTGCCATGCACATGTTTGCTTAAATGAACCCCCGAATGTGACTGACCCAAGCAGGTCTCCTGGGGATGCCACACGGTGTCACACAGAGTTCCTTTGTGCCGTTGTCTTTCACCACTCCATCAGGGTGGTGGCTTGCAGGTTGCAGCAGAAAGCTAATATCCAATCTCTTGTTCCATTGTGTTAAAGACCTTCCAGCTATTCAGGCAGCTTTTTGAGGAGCCTGAAGCGCGTGGCCTTGCCTTGCTCCATCCCACCTGTATTTCTCTTCCGTGGGAGTTTCTGTGCTGCTCCAATTCTCTGTACTGCCACCAATTCAACTTTTCAAGCTGAAGTTGCTGCTGGAAAATGTTCTGGTAAGGCTGCTCCAGATGACAGGTTCAGAGAGCATTACAAGGGGAGCAGTTAGCTGGTGAGGCTGAGGGCAGCATAACCTGTGGCTGTCTTAGACTCATTGCCCTTTTTTTGGTGGATGTCTCTTAAATTGCCGCTTCTTCGGAAGCAACCAACTGCCACGTGTTTCAGGTTGCATGTGAACTCCTCTATAATGCCATACAGAGGGCCTTCAGGTGATCCATCTGGACCAAAATTCTGCTTGCTGGTAAGCAGCAGCAGGTGCCAGGGATAGGAGCAACAAATATGGCAGTTTTGAGGAAATATTGCTCTGTTTTTCTCATTCCAACGTTCTGTGACCTTCCTGAGCTGGGCTTAATAAGAGTTAAATCTTGTGCCCTGCCGGGGATCTGCCCACTCACTTGAATCATTGTGGTGCTCAGAGGACACTAAGCCTGGAGACTACTTCTTGTGTAGCCTGCATACAGGGAAGGGACAGAAAACAACAGGGATGTCAAAAGAAAAAAAAAATGGCAAGGAGTAGATCTGGAACAAATTGCTTCTTCACTCTTTCCATGGTATTGATAATTTCAGGAGACTCCTTTCTGGGGGAATACACTGCTGAAGTCCTGTTCCTGGGCGCTGGCTTGAGCTCTTTCTGGTGATTTTCTTTGGAGTTCATCATTTCTGATGTCCTGTGCTTTGATTCTATCACCTACTTGTGTCTTGAGGTTTTGCTGCAATTCCTTAGAGTCACTGCCCTTATTTACTGATAATGTTAAATTATTCAGAGTGGCAAATGTTGTCATCTCAGTATTGCCTTCCTTGCACCGTTCAGTAGAGTGGAGCAGAGCAGAAAGCAGCTGTGAGTCCCTCTGCTACAAAGATGATGCCCTTCTTCCCTGGTTCTTACGTGGATTTTTTTAACCAGTTACTTAAGTTTTTGAAGAATTTTTCCTTTTATCTCGTGACAGCTTTGCTCCCTGCAGACTTTTGGTGAGGGA